CAATAGTGTGCAAATCACTATAAAATTATATACGAAATTTGAGTTTTGTTTAAAAATACTTCTTGCTTAAATTATTTTTGTGAAATTTTCTTACTTCATAATTCCAATCATTGAAACTAAACCAAATTGGGGTATGAATGACAATTAATACATGTTCCTAATATTAATTGTACTCTATCATATTATGATCCATGTTTGAATTTGATTAATTACCTTCGAGGAATTTGCTGAGGCGGGTTACGAATTGGACGCGGCAGGTGTCGCAGTAGACGGATCCCTTGATGTGGAAGCGGTCGAAGTCATCGGCATCAGCCGCGGCAAAGTGAAGGAGGGTGGTGAAACATAGGGCAGATGCAAGGAAGACAATGAAGAATTTGGCCATTATGCCTTAATTCTTGTGAGTTTTAACTTCGCTCTTCTTCTTCTCTTTGTTTTTGGAGGATTATTTGTTAAATTTAGCTTTTATGGTGAAGAAAAAAATTGTAAGTTTTGGTTGAGAGGAGACGCTTATGATAGATCCAACCAAATATCTCCTTTTATAGAGAATAGATAGACAAAAAACAACAAAACAATGTGATTCTATACCTATTTTTGGAAGTGCATGCTTGTTTATTTTTGGTGTTTGTGTCCTTGAGTTTTTGTACGGATGTGTATTCTTTGAACCCGATCTTTTCTCTTCACCATCTATTTTTTTCTGATAATAATTTCTTCCTAATGGATTCAAATATTCAATTTAGGTTATCTTTTGGAAGGACGAGATAATTTCAAATGTCAAACTATAGAGAGTCGTATTACCCAAATGAAAATGTAACTAGTTTTAATCAACTATTTTGAGTTGCACATATAACGTTTTTGAACAATTATTATGGATAAAAAAGAATGAAACAAGAATAATGCAGCTATAAGATCTCCACAAAGAAATTGTCATGGGAAAAAGAATATGAATCTGTAATTTTGAATTGAGAAAATAAAATCTACAAGACCTAATCTTTAGAGGATCCATTTGAAACAAACAGAAAGGAAAAAGAGAGGTTGTACATTTTACTTATTATCCAAGAAACCTGAATCTATAACATGTTTCAAAGTGTTGTATCAACACCAAAACTATAACAAGAAGATAATGTACAGATGAATTGGATTCTGCTCTTTCTCTGGTTTCGCCAAAAAACAAAAAAAAATCGAGAATGTAAACGTTCTTGATCTACAAGCCAATCTCCAAAACTGAATAGTTGAAACAAAAACATGAATGGTTTAAATTTCGCAGCAAGAACTAACCAGACACTCAACATTAGCCGGTGAAACGATCGAGAAAGACTTACACAGTTCATAAGCTGGCGGTAATAAACGTGGAATTTTCTTGCTGTTTTATGCTGTCTGCAACATGCGCAACGACTCCAGCTCCTGCTTTGTAAAGTCTTTCACTTTTCACCTGAATAAGATACAAATCTCTCTCTCTTAGTCCATATCTGAAAGAAATAAAACAGCTCCAAAGTGAAGATGATGGAAGTTTTTACATGAATGTTGTTATGAGCTAAGTAAGGCCAGAAAGTGGAGTGGAAGCTGACATCAACTTTCTTCCACCCTAAAGTCTGCAGACCACGGATCATTTCCTCTGCCAATATTTGTGGAAACTGTTAATTTAGAAGAATTGATCAAATGTTTGGGATAACAACTATAGCTTTTTCTTCACCTTCAACTATTTCGTGGTACTCAAGTGTGTTCTGAGGGCTAGGCGAGCTTTGTGCGGCCTCCTTCGCTTTAGCCGCTTCTGGAGGGAAATGGGCTCCGTCTGAGGAAACAGGTGGACAGTATTCTACATCAACGACATGCTTGTATCCATCTAGAGACCGGCGTGGAGGCTGCGTATATCATGAAAACAGGGGAAATTCATATCTATCAGATCTCAGTCTCGACAGATAAATAGTTTCTAAGCTTGCATTAGGCTAATTACAAGCCAAATAGAGCTTCTTGCAGGAAGAGAATACCAACCAATCTTCTCTAAGCTATTTGAGATACAAGAACTGCTAAAACATCATTGGTGAATATCTCTACAGGCACTTTTGAACATTTTAAGATTCTTTCCAGTACAATATATTGTCAGCTATAGATCGGTCTGCAAATGCCGAGTCTATCAATGGTCCTGCTACAGATTTTTGAGACCAAATAGCAAAATCCTAACCTCAGGCAGAAATTCGTTTTGGACAGTACAAGGGCCTCAACAAGTAAGGTGAAAATTTTCCTCTATGAATACTCTCACAATTCTGAAACACAAGACCAATTCAGCACCGTTACGATCTCACTACACGCAAAATGTTAATATTGGCGAGTTCCATTTTCTAGCTAGTGTGCTACAAGTTCCAGAGTCGGATAATCTATTATAGAAAGGTTATATTGCTTAAGATTAAATTAAACGTACCTTGAAAAGTTCAGTTTCTCTCCTTATGGAAGATGTACGCCAACCAACCATGTCTAGTTGATGTCAAAGGAGACATTTAGGGAAACAAATGCAGACAATACTAAACATCATGACTGGAAAAATTAAGCACACAGAAATACACAGGATACGGTCATAAGATACGTTTGCATATATGATGCGGCATCGAAATGCCCCCAGAGCCGATCTGCCAGACGAGGAAGTACATTAAGATTTCAACTAAGTCATTAAGGGGTACAATGATTTAAGCGTAATACTCACAAAAATTCCACATCTTCACCATTGGATGCCATCCGCAAGAGAAGAGGTGGTTTATCAGCTTTACCATCAGTGAGAAACAACTGGCTACCAGTCCGACCAACAAAGAACGGAGCTATTGGTGCAGCAAGTTTCTCTAGAATAGGAACTCCCAACAGAAAAGGCAGCTGACACAAGGGATTCGATAAGAATAGGAGAGAATGAGATGAAATTTCCAGGAAACATCAATTACATTCAGAAATCAAGACACTCCGGAAACCAAAAAACCAACAAGCGCAAGACACTTCCGCTGAAAATTATGATATATGTCCGAACGCAAGTAGGAAGTACATTGAATATACATGTGAACAACCACCAACTTCTATCTCAACTAAGCATCCACCACATCTATGTACAGGTAAGGCGAGATATAAATAAAACTCTCTGATTCCAATAATGAAAAGAGAAGAGAAAGAGAACCTGCTTTCTGCCTCTTACTCCTAGATGAGGTGTTGCCAAGGTGATGAAATTAATCGGTTCGAGCCCAGCAATCCTACCTTGCAGAAGATGTGAATTCCCCGATTTAGAGACAGAACCATCACTGGCTTGTAACATTGCTGCTGAGTAGAGAACACCAACAGCATGTCTGGCAAATAGGCCACCAAGGGAGTGGGCTAAAAAGGAAATCTTCTTTAAGCTCTTGCTCTTTTGGACAACTTGTCTAACCTGTTCCTCTCTCACAGCAGGAACCCAAACAGATATTAGCTGATATACCCATACAAGAAGTGGAAATGACATTGTAGGAATATAAAAGCTCACCTCTTCTGCTAGTCGTTTTCCAGCTCCATCGACCCCGCCAAATGTTTTAGTGAAGGTATTGGAAGAACTTGCTGCGAATATACAGGACAAAAAGAGTAAATTAAAAGCATTATGTGTGACAGAAGAAAGATGAGTAAGATAATAAACTACAAAGGTAACAAACAGTGAGAAAAACGAGCTGTGGTCTCGGATACAAAAATTTTCCAAAAAATAATCTTTCGCCTCTTGTCTCTAATGATAATATACACTATGTAACACATGCATTCAAGGTTACGTTACCATTCCATTCACGAAAACCCACTTGCATAATTGGTGATGTATTCTCCAACAACTACTCAACTAACAGAGGATAACAAGTTGAAACCAGATGAGCATACCATAAATCAAGAATCTTCTTCCAAGTCGTCTTTTCATCTCAGCTTCTACGTAGAGCCAGTCACTGGGACTGCAAGTAATGGTGTCTTAGTAAATTCTGGAGCCTATAAATTATTAAATCCGAAAACAATGCAGCAGCAATGATATACACTAGTTTCAAATTCCAAACATGAAGAGTGGCATCGTCACCATTCAAACGGTGAACTTGTTAGACATATCATACCTTGCCAAGATACCGTGTACAAGAACAAGAAGATGATCAGGTTCACTTTTATCATCGTTGTCGCTTTTCGATAGCGAAAAATTCCGTTGAGCTGTGGCATTCATTGTTTGTACACTATGATTCCAGCTTCTTCTTGGACCTGCTTGTAGAG